CCACAGTCTCAAAGAATTAGTAACACACTACGCCGTCATGGATTAAAATCCTGCAGCGCACGCAAGGTCTCCCTGCTCAAGCCAGCGCATGTCCAGGCCCGTCTGAAGTTTGCCAATGACCATCTGGATGATCCAGAGGAGGAATGGGAGAAGGTCATGTGGTCTGATGAGACAAAAATATAGCTTTTTGGTCTAAACTCCACTCGCTGTGTTTGGAGGAAGAAGAAGGATGAGTACAACCACAAGAACACCACCCCAACCGTGAAGCATGGAGGTGGAAACATCATTCTTTGGGGATGCTTTTCTGCAAAGGGGACAGGACGACTGCACCGTATTGAGGGGAGGATGGATGGGGCCATGTATCGCGAGATCTTGGCCAACAACCTCCTTCCCTCAGTAAGAGCATTGAAGATGGGTCGTGGCTGGGTCTTCCAGCATGACAACGACCCGAAACACACAGCCAGGGCAACTAAGGAGTGGCTCCGTAAGAGGCATCTCAAGGTCCTGGAGTGGCCTAGCCAGTCTCTAGACCTGAACCCAATAGAAAATCTTTGGAGCGAGCTGAAAGTCTGTATTGCCCAGCGACAGCCTCGAAACCTGAAGGATCTGGAGAAGGTCTGTATGGAGGAGTGGGCCAAAATCCCTGCTGCAGTGTTTGCAAACCTGGTCAAGACCTACAGGAAATGTATAATCTCTGTAATTGCAAACAAAGGTTTCTGTACCAAATATTAAGTTCTGCTTTTCTGATGTATCAAATACTTATGTCATGCAATAAAATGCAAATTAATTACTTAAAAATCATACAATGTGATTTTCTGGATTTTTGTTTTAGATTCCGTCTCTCACAGTTGAAGTGTACCTATGATAAAAATTACAGACCTCTACATGCTTTGTAAGTAGGAAAACCTGCAAAATCGACAGTGTATCAAATACTTGTTCTCCCCACTGTATGTGAGTGTAGATACAGCACACAGCAGGTAGGTGGAGTTCATTACCCTTTCTATCATTCCATATAGGGGTGGTAGAATAGGGCATCAGCCCTTTGATACACCAACAAATAGAAGAGTACTCTGAAATGAACTCTGAGTCAAAGAGGGGCTTCACTTCCTGCCAAGATTTGGCATGTGTTTGTGTTTGTTTCTTGTGTGTGACAGAGTGTGTGTGATGGAATAAGTGGGGGCTTGGTAGATGGAGGTGCTGTATACCAGTGGGTCTTTGGCTGGAATGGGGGCCCATGTCACACTGTGTGCAGCAGACAGATATAAGATGAGAGAGACCAGGCGCATGAGCGATCCCCAGATCCACGACGGGTTGCGTTTGGGCTCTGTTATGTTGGCTGTTTGGCCTTTGCGTTGCTGTTAGAAAAGCAAACACATTATTGTTCTAACTAACAGCTAGGGAGTCACTGTACTGTAGATGGGATACTGTAGGTCTGCTACTGGTACTGGGTTGATTGGAAGTACTGTATAGGTTCTGCTATGCTACATGACTGTGTATATGTATCAGGGTCTTCTGAAGTATCCTGTAAGTGTGCATCCCAAATGGCACCATATACCCTATATAGTGCACTATATAGGGCCTCTCCAAGGCGTTCCTAGTCGATCGGCAAACATTTCTGTAAAAAACCCAACGATAAAGCCTTGTGTTCCTATATTTGTATTTGTCTCACGCTGTTGGAGGTAGGTGCAACCAATTCAGCCTCCCTCGCTGGGTAGGTGAAGTGTTCCCATTTTTAACCATTTCATGTGTCTGAAGGTACAATCTCAGCCTTCCCGGCGGGCCCAGATAGCAAATCAAGTGCACCATAGGCCTACCGCTGGCCAATCGAATGGCTCAGATTACCATGTCTTCAGTAACGTAGCAGGCCTAAAAAGAAAGCTATAGCAAAGTTAATACTGTGAGATTTCAAAACTTTTAAAACCATGACTAGAGTGAGACTGTCAACGAATACTGCGAAGAGCTTCTGTTTTTATGAGTGAGTTCATGTTTACGTTTTTACTCAGCACTGTCAACACTTTCTATTTAACATAAAATGCCCGTTCTTCCTACTTCCACTCGCGCTACAAGCAGCACTGCAGCTGCAATGAATGAGTAGGAAAGTGTATCGGTAGGCTTGCGTTTTTATTATTAGCGGCTTGGGTCTTTTTTAATATCTAAGAATATTTCACTTTTTCTGTTAATAGGAGAAACATGAATTTGTGCATGATGCAGAAATAATGCGGTGCGACTTGAGTTTTGCCATCAGCTGGAAGACGGTGTCCTTTTTGGTCAGTGTCAGCGGAGGAAAGGGAGAGCGGAGGGACGTTGAGAGCTGCTCTCTCCCTCCGTTGAGACTGACCATCAGATGCTGGCAACATCAGCCCAGTAAAATAAAAATAAAATGATTTAAATGTATGCTCACTCAGCTGTGCCTCACAAGTAATACAACAACTGATCTATTATCGGTGTGATCATATTATAGCCTACCTCAAATTTGAAATATATATTTTTTAAATGGTCCGAACAACAATGCATTGGCAGGGCAATTCAACCAAAGCCTACTGCACAAACGTCATTAATACAGTACTGTTTTTAATAGGTTAATGTTGCATAGGCTTACGTTTTGTAAGTCATGTTTTAAAAAAATCTGAGCGGTGGATCTCGGCTTGCATTTTGACTCAGAAAGTGATCTTGACTCAGATAAGGTTGGTGACCACTGCACTAAAGCCTCCTACTAAAGATGTACAATGTATGAGACATACAGCAGCAATGGCCACACAAAGACAACAGACTCCCTCACACAAGATGACACACTTCAGATAAGATGGAGAACATGTCAGCAGACAGGAGAAAGCACACAGCCAGCGTTGGCATTTCAAGGGTTTCAAGGCCCCTTTCAAGTGCTGAAGGTAGACCAGTTTGTACTAACAACTGAAAGACGTTCAGCCTGTAAGAACCACACAGACAGAACATGAGGTGGTACCAGGTGAATTGAAAGAAAACCAGAAAGTTGTGTTGTCTGGTAAAATATATACAGACTACTCTCTGTTACCTGGACAAGAATCAAAGTCCAACTAAAACAGTAGCCAACACCAGTTCAGGCAACAAAGAAGGAAATTAAAACTAAAGGGTTTACCTTAATCCATCCTAGGCAGGAATTCCTCTTCATTCAAAGCTTCTTAGACAGTGAATGCTTAAGAAGAAATATCCTACCACAATTAATGACATTAAGACTAAGACATTACACTAAGACCAGAAACCCCCAACTCATCCTCCTTCCCCATTCTACCTCTATTCCAGTAACTGTATGGTCATCTTAAAATTATTAATCAGCTTCTTGAACACTTTACCCACTTACGGGCACAAATAGAGCAGTTTCTAAGTGGCTGTCTAGGGTTGTGCTACGGAGACTCCTAAAAGATTTATCATACCCCTTCCAACCGCTCCAACCTCTCCCCAGCCATCGAGTCAAAAGAGCCGAAGCGAACACCATCGCATCAAAGGGAGGATTCATATTTAATGCAGGCTGTTAGAATCAGGCTGTTAGAATCAGGCACTGTCTGCGTCCAAAATGGCACCCTATTCGCTTTATAGTGCACTACTTTTGACCAGGGCCCATAGGCTCTGGTCAAACGTAGTGCAGTTTATAGGGAATAGAGTGCTATGTTGGATGCAGACACTGAGATTGGGAATGGCAGCATAGCAGCCTTGCCAACCCCGTGCCCAGACAGTCACCTCAGGTTGTTGTTACTTCCTGTTGGAACCCCTTTCAGAGACACTTGCAGCCAGCCAATCACCCAGGAGTTGAGTCTAGTTTGCCAGCGGTGGTGGGAAGAGACTACCCAGCAGTGTAAGACTTGTTTGGGCTGAGCCCGTATGGGAGGCAAGAGAGGTAGAGGTGTTCCAGAATATTCTCTAGCATTGATGGTGAGCTACAGAGTGATCTTACAGAGAAAACGCCACAAGCACTGATCCTCCCGGAAGATTCATACTGTGTAGGTCTTCCTTCACCACAACAATGTCCTTTTCCCATCTCGCCCATCTGAAAAGCTCAGCTGCTACTCCAAAATGAGGTGTTTTTCTCGTTGCCCCCCATTTAAAACCCAGCAAACAATGACCAGACAGACAGACTGAGGGAGGGAGGACAGAGCTACAGTAACAAGGGAGTGAAAGACTCTAAATGTGGAGAGGGACACGAAAGACAGGGAGAGGAAGGGACTTTGGAGGGTGGAACAGGGGAAAAAGGCCTGGGAGGAAAGCCTGAAAAAAAGAACCAGCAGCTACAGCATTAGTCAAATACAAAACAAGACTGAGGTAGAAAGAGAGGCAGAAACAGAGCATAAAGAGGAAAAAATAAGGGAGGATAAATAAGGAGAAGGAAGAAAAGACAGCGAGGGAGGAAGGGGGTACAGTAGAAACCCAGTGGACGATCACTAACCTGTCCCCCCTTGGGCTGGTAATTGATGTTGTCTGTGGAGCCGATCTTAGACTTGACGTTCTTGAGGTCTGGCAGGGGCTGGTTGAGGACGCGAAGCTGTTTGGGGGTGGTGGCGGGGGACTTGGGAGGGGTGCGGAGCAGAGCCACCTTGAATAAATGAATTGCCAACTGATTAATTGATTCCATGATATACTCAGGTCTCATTTGGAAAAAAGACTACTGTAGCTAATCTCAATATGATCTCCTGAATAAATAAAGGATAAATCCATAAAATACAATTATATATTTGACTAATTTAAAATACATATAGAGTAGTTGCCTCAGCTGAGTACAGTATAACAGCATTGATTCCTTTTCAGCGCTCTTGAAACGGTTACCTGAACTGCACAGTATCTACTTTGCTTTGACAGTAGTTGGTTCCATATTCTACAAAAAACATGAGCTCTCATAAGGAATAGAGTGCCAATTGGGATGCAGCCTGTACCTTCTTCTCCTGCAGCAGGCTGAGTGAACGTGGTGTGCCGGGGGTGCGAGGGGTCCCGGGTGTGCGGCAGGAGTAGCTGTAGCTGGGAGGGGTACCAGGGGTGATGGCTGTGGACCCTGGGTTGCGGGGTGTGGTGGGGCCGCTGCACAGCGAGCGGGAACGCATCGACTGTGTGCCTGGGGGGGGGGGGGGGGGGGTCATAGAAAGGTCACAAAGGTCATACAGAGAGGTTACTCAAAGGTCAATCAGATGTTGGGCATCTCTCAGCATTACTCTAGCCTGGTCCCAGATCTATATGTGCAGTCTTGCCATTTTGTGTTGTCTATGGTCCATATAAGTTGGCAAAACAGAACAAACAGATCTGGGACCAGGCTAACATTACTCCAAAGTATCAAAATTGGTCAGATGAAGAATGGCTCAAAACAAACGGGATGAAACAGTGTAGTTAATAGAATAAAATACGTTAATGAAGCCCAAACTATAGGCTTGATCTACTTGATTACTAACTATTAAGGATGAGACATTCCAACTAGCCATCTCTTACTAGAGATGTGATCTTGAACACACAGAAAGACTGAGATGAACTGGGTGAGATCATGTGAGACAAGATAAGACTAGGTGAGACACTGCAGGACTAGGTGAGACACTGAAGGACAAGGTGAGACACTGCAGGACAAGGTGAGACACTGCATGACTAGGTGAGACACTGCAGGACAAGGTGAGACACTGAATGACAAGGTGAGACACTGAAGGACAAGGTGAGACACTGAAGGACAAGGTGAGACACTGCAGGACTAGGTGAGACACTGAAGGACAAGGTGAGACACTGCAGGACTAGGTGAGACACTGCAGGACTGCAGGCAGTGTCTCACCTTGTCCTTCAGTGTCTCACCTAGTCATGCAGTGTCTCACCTAGTCCTGCAGTGTCTCACCTTGTGATCTTGAGATCGTGATCTTGCAAGGTGAGACACTGCAGGACTAGGTGAGACACAGTAAGACTAGGTGAGACACTGCAGGACAAGGAGAGACACTGCATGACTAGGTGAGACACAGTAAGACTAGGTGAGACACTCCAGGACAAGGTGAGACACTGCAGGACAATGTGAGACTGGATGAGAATGGAAGTGAATCCAGTTGAGACGGGGGACAGAGTGAGACATGGATGAGACTGGATGGGACTGGATGGGATTGAGAGTTCCTCTCTACCTGTCCAACTAGGGGCACGTCCTGTCCTATGCTCCGCCCTGACCTCTGTACGGAACGCTAGAGGAGAACAGGAGAGAAAGAGGATTAAACAGAGGACAGAGAGATAGAGCGAGAGAAAGAGCAAGATCACGATCGAGAGAGAAAGAGGCTAACCGAGAGAGACAGGCAGAAAGAGAGAGAGCAGGAGAAGTGACTTACACGTGGGTCTGCGGGGTGCAGTGGAGCCGGAGCTGGTGATTGAGGTGGAGCTCTCCTCCTGTTCGTGTGGTTGGTGGTGGGTACGCCGGCTCAGGATAGAGGCAGGCCGCGGCAGGGATGACCTCTTTGGGCTCTGAGAACCACCATCCTGTCACATACAAACACCCACACACACACGCAGGAAGGCAAACAGGCACACAAACACACACACACACATTTAGCTTAGTACTGCAGTTACAGAAGTGCACAAGTCAGAAAATGCCCTAGCTTTAGCCTGGGTATTAATTTACAGATGTGAGATCGATCAGTTGATCAGTTCAGGGCCATATGCTAACCTTACCACGTCTATCAGTCTCTGTAGTGTTCGGGAGTCACAAGGCCCGACCGAGGAGGGACGGTGCCTATCAAGCTCCGCTTCCACCAGCGAGTTATTTTTATTGTAGGAGGAGCAAGAGGAGTTAGGGCGAGGGGGCAGGAGGGTGGCCGCTCGCATTTTACAGGTGGGGATCTTTGTCAGTGGTGGAGACTAAGTGACAGACAGACAGATGGGGGAGAGATGGGGGATTTAGGGGTGAGAGATGGGGGAGATACAAGAGAGAGATGGGTGAGAGATGGAGGAGAGATGGAGGAGAGATGTGGGAGAGATGGGGGAGATATGGGGGAGATATGGGGGATAGATGGAGGAGATACGGGTGAGAGATGGGGAAGATACGGTTGAGAGATGGGGGAGATATGGGGGAGAGATGGAGGAGATACGGGTGAGAGATGGGGAAGATACTGTTGAGAGATGGGGGAGATATGGGGGAGAGATGGAGGAGATACGGGTGAGAGATGGGGAAGATACGGGGGGAGATACGGGTGAGAGTTGGGGGAGATACGGGTGAGAGATGGGTGAGAGATGGGGAGATATGGGGGAGAGATGGGGGAGAGATGGCTGAGAAACAGACAGTGTGCAAACCAAACCACATGTAAACAAGGATAAAAACAATGACAGTGGAACCAAAGATGACTGTACTGACTATAATTTCCTCGGCAATTGTGCAAACGGAGATATATACAGTGAGGGAAAAAAGTATTTGATCCCCTGCTGATTTTGTACGTTTGCCCACTGACAAAGACATGATCAGTCTATAATTTCATATAGCATTCCTCCTCCTCCAAACACGGCGAGTTGAGTTGATGCCAAAGAGCTCGATTTTGGTCTCATCTGACCACAACACTTTCACCCAGTTCTCCTCTGAATCATTCAGATGTTCATTGGCAAACTTCAGACGGCCCTGTATATGTGCTTTCTTGAGCAGGAGGACCTTGCGGGCGCTGCAGGATTTCAGTCCTTCACGGCGTAGTGTGTTACCAATTGTTTTCTTGGTGACTATGGTCCCAGCTGCCTTCAGATAATTGACAAGATCCTCCCGTGTAGTTCTGGGCTGATTCCTCACCGTTCTCATGATCATTGCAACTCCACGAGGTGAGATCTTGCATGGAGCCCCAGGCCGAGGGAGACTGACAGTACTATTGTGTTTCTTCCATTTGCGAATAATCGCACCAACTGTTGTCACCTTCTCACCAAGCTGCTTGGCGATGGTCTTGTAGCCCATTCCAGCCTTGTGTAGGTCTACAATCTTGTCCCTGACATCCTTGGAGAGCTCTTTGGTCTTGGCCATGGTGGAGAGTTTGGAATCTGATTGATTGATTGCTTCTGTGGACAGGTGTCTTTTATACAGGTAACAAGCTGAGATTAGGAGCACTCACTTTAAGAGTGTGCTCCTAATCTCAGCTCGTTACCTGTATAAAATATACCTGGGAGCCAGAAATCTTTCTGATTGAGAGGGGGTCAAATACTAATTTCCCTCTTTAAAATGCAAATCAATTTATAACATTTTTGGCGTGCGTTTTTCTGGATTTTTTTGTTGTTATTCTGTCTCTCACTGTTCAAATAAACCTACCATTAAAATTATAGACTGATCATTTCTTTTTTATTATTATTATTATTATTTTATTTTTTTTGGGGGGGGATGGAATAGCTTAATATTGCAGATAGATTGTATCTTCTGTCAATGTAATTGTCTGCATCACTTCCAATCCCCCATTTCTTTTTCTTATTTTTTTATTTATTATTATGATTATTTATTTTTTGCTCCTGAACTTCTTCTACTCTCAACCTCTCCGATCATTATCATGATGTCCATCCGGTTTGCTTCTATATGCCATATCTTTCTAACTGTGCTCTTTCCCAAAAGCTCCCAACATACAACCTATATACTTATTATGGACACAGTATGCTTACATTATTAGCTATCTTTGTTATTATTTGTTGTTATTTGTTATTAGCCCCATCCTTCAACTCTATTCAATACCTCCCATCTATCTCTTAACACCATCCATATAGGATTTCTATTTGCATATATATTTCAACCGTACTGTGATGTTTTACAAAAGTTCTGAACCTTTCTATTCTCATTGCTTCTACAGATTGTGAATTAAAAATAAACATTTTTGCTAAAAGTATTATTATATTATTGATCGATTGACTATGACTTTTCAGATCACCCAGTAATGCTATGTGCAAGATTAGCTTCAGGTAAATATTGCAATCCTTTAGCCATTCCTGGACCTGTGTCCAAAAACAAGCTACAAATGGACAGAACCAAAACAAATGATCTAATGATTCTGTCTCTTCACAGCAAAATCTGCAGAGCTGGGAAGATTGTATCCCCCATAAAAATAACATTCTATTGGTAGCAAGAATTTTATATAATAATTTAAATTGAAAGATTCAAATTTTTGAATCTGGTGTCGTTTTGCGTGTCAGTTCATAAACACTATGCCATGGGATCGGTACGTCAAAGATCTCTTCCCAACTATTTTGCAATCTATATGGGACGGCTGTCAATCCTTTGGTCCTTAAGTGAAACTGATATACTTTTTTATTTAACACAGTTTTCCTTAACCAATTATGTTCTTTAATGCAAGGCCGACAGACAAGTTCCTTACTTTCTCCCCCATCCACTTTCCTCTTCCACTTTTGCGGTAAGGCTGCAATTATTTGGTTGTAATTTTGGGTAGAGCAGACATTTCCATATGTTTTTGTTAGCTGCATGTGCGACATAACTCCACCAGTCCTACCGATGATATCATTTACGAAGATTATACCTTTTTTAAACATTCTGTCAAAAAATAAAGGTTTTTTGTCAATTAGTATATTTGAATTTAACCACAATATTTGTTGCATTATTTGTTCTGTCGTTTCTGGAGGATTAAATTGAAATTGCAACCAACTTTCTACGGCTTGTTTTAGAAATAGTGATATTTGGGAGATGATTTCCTTTTCAAATAACTGCAAATGAGTTGTTGTAATCTGAATAAAGGGAAAAAGGCCTTTCTTGAACATTGGGTGAGACAATCTTACTAATTTGCTTGAGAACCAGTTCGGATTTAAGTATAACTTTTGTATGACTGAAGCTTTTAGTGATAGGTCTAATGCTTTAATATTTAATAATTTCTGTCCTCCGAATTCATATTCATTATATATATGCCCTTTAAATTTTGTCTGGCTTGCCGTTCCAAATAAAAATGAATATTTTTTTCTCATATAATTTAAAAAACTGTTCGCTAGGCGTAGGCAAGACCATAAGCAAATAGGTCAACTGGGATAATACTAAAGAGTTAATCAGGGTGATTTTTCCACAAATTGACAGGTATTTTCCTTTCCATGGTAGTAAGATCTTATCTATTTTTGCCAACTTTCTATTAAAATGTATTGAAGTGAGATCATTTATTTCCTTAGGGATATGTATTCCGAGTATATCCACATCACCATCAGACCATTTTATTGGTAAACTACATGGTAATGTAAAAATTGTATTTTTTAGTGATCCAATGCGTAATATAGTACATTTGTCATAATTTGGTTGTAATCCAGAGAGGTTAGAAAATGTATCTAGATCCTCTATGAGGCTGTGGAGGGATTCTAGTTGTGGATTTAAAAGAAAACATGAATCATCAGCGTACAATGACACCTTTGTTTTTAAGCCCTGTATTTCTAATCCTCTGATATTATTATTGGATCTGATTTTAATAGCTAACATCTCGATGGCCACAATAAATAAATATGCCGATAGTGGACAACCTTGTTTCACTCCTCTTGACAGTTTAAAACTTTCTGAGAAATAGCGATTATTTACTATTTTACACCTAGGGTTACTATACATGATTTTGACCCATTTTATAAGAGATTCTCCAAAATTGAAATGCTCCAGGCATTTATATATAAACCCCAGTTAACTTTATCAAATGCCTTTTCGAAGTCTGCTATGAATAGCAGGCCTGGTTTCCCATTTTTTTTTTTCCCATAGTGTTCTATTGTTTCCAATACTTGCCTTATATTATCTCCAATGTATCTTCCATGTAAAAAACCTGTCTGATTAGAATGTATAATATCCGACAATACCTTTTTAATTCTATGCGCTATACATTTTGCTAGGATTTTTGCATCACAACACTGAAGTGTAAGGGGCCTCCAATTTTGTAAATGGACTGGATCTTTATATTTTCCACTTGTATCCTGTTTCAGTAATAATGATATCAGACCTTCTTCTTGAGTGTCAGATAATCTACCATTTACATAGGAGTGGTTAAAACATGCTAATAACGGTCCTCTTAGTATATCAAAAAAGGTTTGGTATACCTCGACTGGTATGCCATCCAACCCTGGAGTTTTCCCAGACTTAAAGTCTTTAATTGCATCCAGAAGTTCCTCCTCTGTAAATTCACCTTCACATGAGTCTTTCTGTGTGGCTGTTAATTTGACATTATCAATAGAAAAAAAATCTCTACAATTAGCTTCAGTTAGAGGAGATGGAGGCGACTGAAAATAAAACATATGCTTAAAGTACTTTGTTTCTTCCTTCAAAATATCATTTGGTGAATTATGGGTGACTCCATCAATTGTAACCAGTTTCATTAAGTTCTTTTTGGTAGCATTCCTATGTTGAAGATTAAAAAAGAATTTTGTGCATTTTTCCCCATATTCCATCCAGTTTGCTTTATTTTTATAATATATTACACTTGATCTTTCTTGAATAAGTTTCTCCATTTATTTTAGTTTTTCCTCTAATTTATTCTGAGCCTCTATGTTACAGTTTTTATTGCCATCTATCTGTTCTGTTAGACTTTCTATTTCCTTTCTTAGTATAAACTATTTTGACCGAAATTGCTTTTGTTTTCGAGATGAGTACTGAATTGCATGGCCTCTAAAGGCACATTTAAAGGTGGCCCATACAATAAGGGGATTCGCTGTACCTATGTTATGTTGGAAAAAATCAGTTATAAATTCCTTTGTTCTAATTATAAATAAATTATTATCCAATAGGCTTTGATAAAATTTCCAATATCCTCGCCCACGTGGAAATTCAGTAAGAGTAATGTATATGCCTATTATATGATGGTCCGACCGCATTCTGTCCCCTATCAACACTTTTTTTTACTTTTGGTGCCAACGAGAATGAGATAAGAAAGAAGTTCTTTGACAATTTGCACATTCGGATCGAAATTACTATTAATTAATATCATCACCCCTTTTGAATTTCTTTGCCCATGGGAGAAGTATATTTCCCCCCCCCCCCCCCCATTCTTTTTTCCACGCTACTTCATCTCGAATTGTTGAATTAGTTTCCTGTATACAATATATATTATATTCCTTCTCTTTGAGCCATGTAAATATTGTTATTCTTTTGTTATTATCAGCTAAGCCATTACAATTATAACTGGCTATACTTATTTCACCATACACCATAATGAGATACAAGTTTCAAGTCTATTTATCATTATATATGTTTGTAAATTTACCAATAAAAAATACCGTAATGATTGAGTGTCCATATAGCTGTACCGTGATATTTGCATTGCTACGGAGTAACCCTTCAATTGTTCTCCACTAATTCCCCCGCTAAAGCCCCTCCCCATCCCAAGTTGAGCCGTCATCCCAGTGATCAGCATCCCACCCACGTCCCTCCGGATCCCTAAGGCCCCGAGAGGCCAGGACCCATCCATCGAAAACAGCACACAGTGCCACCCACAAAACAGAAGCAGATTAACCGCCAAAAGCATTTCCAATGCTTTCACCTATATATATATATATATATATATATATATATATATATATAAAACTATTTAAAAAATATATGCATATCCTATTTTCCATCATTATCAATTAATATGCGTAATAATGTCGGCAGTTCACGCGTAGGATTCTAACATATAACCCGGATTGCCATTGTATTACATTTAATTCATTGACAAGCAATTATTATCCTAGCAAATAATTAGAATAGACTGATCATTTCTTTGTCAGTGGGCAAATGTACAAAATCAGCAGGGGATCAAATACTTTTTCCCTCACTGTACACTACCGGTCAAAAGTTTTAGAACACCTACTTTTTTCTTTATTTTTACAATTTTCTACATTGTAGAATAATAGTGAAGACATCAAAACTATGAAATAACACATATGGAATCATGTAGAAACCAAAAAAGTGTTAAACAAATCAAAATATATTTTATATTTGAGATTCTTCAAATAGCCACCCTTTGCCTTGATGACAGCTTTGCACACTCTTGAATTCTAAATAAATCACAGACAGTGTCACCAGTAAAGCACCCCCACACCATCACACCTCCTCCTCCATGATTCACGGTGGGAACCATACATGCAGAGATGATCCGTTCACCTACTCTGCATTGGCGGTTGGAACCAAAAATCTCAAATTTGGACTCATCAGACCAAAGGACAGATTTTCACCAGTCTAATGTCCATTGCTCGTGTTTCTTGGCCAAAGCAAGTCTCTTCTTCTTTTTGGTGTCCTTTAGTAGTGGTTTCTGCACGTTGATGACTTCACTATTATTCTACAATGTAGAAAATAGTAAAAAAATAAGAAAAACCCTTGAATGAGTAGGTGTGTCCAAACTTTTGACTGGTACTATATATATAGCCAATTGTCTTTGGGTTCTGGTTCCATAATACAGTGCCTTGCAAAAGTATTCATCCCCCTTGGTGTTTTTCCTATTTTGTTGCATTACAATCTGTAATTTAAATGGATTTTTATTTGGATTTCATGTAATGGACATACACAAAATAGTCCAAATTGGTGAAGTGGAATGAAAAAAATAACTTGTTAAAAAAAATTATAACAAATAAATAACGGAAAAGTGGTGCGTGCATATGTATTCACCCCCTTTGCTATGAAGCCCCTAAATAAGATCTGGTGCAACCAATTAAGTCACCTTCAGAAGTCACATAATTAGTTAAATAAAGTCCACCTGAGTGCAATCTAAGTGTCACATGATCTGTCACATGATCTCAGTATATATACACCTGTTCTGAAAGGCCCCAGAGTCTGCAACACCACTGAGCAAACGGCACCATCAAGCAAACGGCACCATGAAGACCAAAGAGCTCTCCAAACAGGTCAGGGACAAAGTTGTGGAGAAGTATCAGGGTTGGGTTATAAAAAAATATCCAAAACTTTGAACATCCCTCAGAGCACCATTAAATCCATTATTCAAAAATGGAAAGAATATGGCACCACAACAAACCTGCCAAGAGAGGGCCGCCCACCAAAACTCACAGACCAGGCAAGGAGGGCATTAATCAGAGAGGCAACAAAGAGACCAAAGACAACCCTGAAGGAGCTGCAAAGCTCCACACCAGAGATTGGAGTATCTGTCCATAGAACCACTTTAAGCTGTACACTCCACAGAGATGGGCTTTACGGAAGAGTGGCCAGAAAAAAGCCATTGCTTAAAGAAAAAAATAAGCAAACACGTTTGGTGTTCGCCAAAAGGCATGTGGGAGACTCCCCAAACATATGGAAGAAGGTACTCTGGTCAGATGAGACTAAAATTGAGTTTTTTGGCCATCAAGGAAACCGCTATGTCTGGCGCAAACCCAACACCTCTCATCACCCCGAGAATACCATCCCCACAGTGAAGCATGGTGGTGGCAGCATCATGCTGTGGGGATGTTTTTCATCGGCAGGGACTGGGAAACTAGTCAGAATTGAAGGAATGATGGATGGCGCTAAATACATGGAAATTCTTGAGGGAAACCTGTTTCAGTCTTCCAGAGATTTGAGACTGGGACGGAGGTTCACCTTCCAGCAGGACAATGACCCTAAGCATACTGCTAAAGCAACACTCGAGTGGTTTAAGGGGAAACATATAAATGTCTTGAAATGGCCTAGTCAAAGCCAAGACCTCAAACCAATTTAGAATATGTCGTATGACTTAAAGATTGCTGTTCACCAGCGGAACCCATCCAACTTGAAGGAGCTGGAGCAGTTTTGCCTTGAAGAATGGGCAAAAATCCCAGTGGCTAGATATGCCAAGTTTATAGAGACATACCCCAAGAGACTTGCAGCTGTAATTGCTGCAAAAGGTGTCTCTACAAAGTTTTCTCTTTTTTGGTCTTATTTGTTGTTTGTTTCACAGAAAAAAAGTATTTTGCATCTTCAAAGTGGTAGGCATGTTGTGTAAATGAAATGATACGAACCCCCAAAAAATATATTTTAATTCCAGGTTGTAAGGCAATAAAATAGGAAAAATGCAAAGGAGGGGGAATACTTTCGCAAGCCACTGTATAATCACAGAATACAGTGTGTGTGCGTGTGGTAGCTAGCGTGGGCAGAGAATCCCAGGCTGCGCTATACAGAGCAGAACTGAACAGTACTGGGAGATGTGGCATTTAAAGAGCTGTGCCAGGCTGTGCTGTCTTTATTATTCTAAAATAATTACTGTTATTATGTGGAGGAGTGACTGGCAGTCACGACCAAAGATAATGAATGATGATTACGGCCCACATGCATAGCAAATGCACCCTATTCTCTATATAGTGCACTACTTTAGACCAGGGCCTATATGGCTTACCTTGCCTATGGGCTTTTACCTTGTCATAGTGCTCTGGTCAAACGTAGTGCACTATAGAGGGAATAGGGCGCCATTTGGGATGAATACACTGAATGATGATTACATCTCGGAGGGAAGAGAACAGAAAAGCTTCTATATTTATCTGGCCTGGATGTTTACTCCACTGTGACATAACCATCAGGGTGGATGGACATGCAGCTAAACAGGTCAAAGGGGATTCATTAAAAGGGGGACAGGAGAGAGAAAGGATTTATGTTAGTTGATGTTAAGTCAGTTTAAGTATAGAGGAATAAAACTGTGGGTTAATATGGACAGATAAATTAGGTTCAGGCAGGGAAGCAGGTTCAAACTGGTAAGAGGGACTTATTTCTGACACTGTATCCAGAGTGTGTTTTTCAGCATTTTGTGTCCTTTTCTATGCTAAGTCTGGATCGTGCTCGGTGGGTAGGAAATGGGGAAAACGTTTGAAACTGAGTGAAACGAGGAGATAACCTACTACCTCAACGTTTCAAAATGTTTTGCTACAGTGTGTCCTACTGAACATGACCATGCACTTGTATTCTGTCATGTAAATGGAAATTAAGTTATTGTATCGCATTGTGACGCAGTGTTGTACTTACTGAGGCTCTGTCCCGAGACTGTCTAGCAACACTGAGGGGCCGACGACCTTCTGGTACACCCACTGAAGAGAAGAGGAGAGAGGAGGAGAAAGAGAGAAGAGGAGAGAGGGAGACAGAGAGAATGAGAGGAGGAGGAGAGAGAGAAGAGAGGGAGACAGAGAGACAATGAGAGGAGGAGGAGAGAGAGAGAAGAGGAGCGAGGTAGACAGAGAGAGAATGAGAGGAGGAGGAGAGAGAGAGAAGAGGAGACAGGTAGACAGAGAGAGAATGAGAGGAGGAGGAGAGAGAAGAGGAGATAGGTAGACAGAGAGAGAATGAGAGGAGGAGAGAGAGAGAGAAGAGGAGAGAGAGGTAGACAGAGAGAGAATGGGAGGAGGACAGAGAGAGAGAAGAGGAGAGAGGTAGACAGAGAGAGAATGAGAGGAGGAGGAGAGAGAGAAGAGGAGAGAGGGAGACAGAGAGAGAATGAGAATGAGAGGAGGAGAGAGAGAGAGAGAGAGGGAGGGAGTGAAATAGAAAAGGGAAGGAGAGAGGAGAAGAGGAAGAGAGAGAGAAAGAGATAAGGAGAGAGGAGAGCGAGAGAGAAAGACAGACAGTGTATCGTTAGACGTGATTTAAACATTAGGACAGATTGACAGCAACACAACAACACTCTCCCACACACACAACAGCTGTGGCTGGAGCACGCCAAACACTCTACAGTCTACCAACACAATCTAACTGACAAGTATTGGGCTAACAGTTACCCCTCTTCTGTAAACAACTACAGCAAACTTTGTGAGAGTAAATCTAGCCCTAACTGGGTTACAGTATTGTATAATTATACGGTATTACTGTATACTATCAGGGAATTGGCTGAGATCCTATTTGAGCTGCTAGAGAAAACCTCTGTTCTCCAATGCTTTGGCAGGAAATCATACAGAATAGAGGATTTTGGATTACATACAGTAAGTGCACCCGGCCATCCCACCCTCCTTCCCACCCCCTGAACAATTTCATTGGGGCAATGCAGCAATTTAGAGGGTTTACAGTAAACATCGTCTATCTATCATATACAGTTACTAGAGAGCTTGTGGAGGAAATGGCAGAGGAAACCACATAATTAAATATAGAGCACAAGTATGATTATTTATTATATATCTATATTGTGGAAACTCTCTCTGTCAGGTGAGGTAAACCAGTATGTCTCCTTACAGCAAGAGGAGCCAAACTAACAGTTGTTGGCAACCACTACATCCTGAATGGCACTCTATTCCATTTATAGTGCACAACTTTTGGCCAGAGCCCTATGGGCCCTGGTCAAAAGTAGTACACTACATAGGGAATAGGGTACCATTTGGGACTAATGTCCTGCTCTGGGGAAATGCAGTGAAAACCCACTTATTTCACTGTAGTTCTTTCACAGCTGTAGTTCTTTCACAGCAAACAAGCAATCATTACACAGGTTAAAGAGAGACATATAGAGTTAATAAGTGAGATGGTGAGAGATGGATAATCGGTGTTAAATACAGAAAGAAAATAAAAAGTATTGCAGGTACACATTACTCTGAAGCAGTATCATTGACCAATCCATCTCCCACAAAAGAGAAACCCAGAATGAACACGGAACCTGATGAGAACAAAAATGCATTGAAAAAAATTAACAAATAATAAAATAATTAAGAAATGTTGAGCAACTGACTGTTCACAACAAGCCAACAACAAAGTCAAATGAGAAAAGTAGAGCAAATTAGTTTTTTATTCTAATAAAATGCAAACACTGAACATGACAAACAAATGCAACAGAATAAAAATTGATAGATTAACATAATAATTGATAACATTTAACAAAAATAGAAGCTGAAAATGACTGTAAGGATGAGTTAACTGTAAAGCACTTTGTGAAACTGCTGATGTAAAAAGGGCTTTATAAATACATTTGATTGATTGATGAGATGTGAATGTTGATGTTGATGTTTGCAGCCACATTGCAGATGATTAGCCTTCCTGGCCCCGGCCAGCAGGGTTGCGTTCCAAATGGCACCCTATTCCCTATTTAGTGCACTACTTTTGACCAGAGCAGTATGGGCCCTGGTCAAAATTAGTGCACTATATAGAGAATAGAGTTCCATTTGGAACACAGTCCAGGAATGGTTGGTCACCTGTAGGTTTTCTCCTAGCACAGGGGTGGGGCTGGGCGGGACGCGGGTGTCGGACCGCAGTAGGCTTTAACATACTCTTCCGGGACGGCGAGGAGCGCATCGGAGTCTCTGCTTTCTTAGTCAGCTCAGTCTTCTTAATCACGGCTAGCAGAAGGAAGAGGGAGAGACATAGTTGAAGAGAGAAAGGGAAAGACGTACAAGTAGCATAAGGAAGGAAAGGATAGTGTGGTTAGGAGGTTAGGAGAGAACCACCCACCTGATTCCCAGGTAACACTTAGCTGAGATCTTAAAGGCTTTTAAAGATCATTATCTTTGCCAATTAGAATGAAAGAGAATAACTAAATCTGTCAATTAATAATATATAACTACAAAGAACTATATAGAAATGAATAGTGTTGTTGGTTTCCAAGACACATATCCAGCCTAGTCCTGGACTAAAACGCTATTTCAATGGAGATTCTTCACTGAAGTGTCCGGGAAACTGGCCCTGTAGAGTAACAAACTGAGCGGAAATCTACACCACTTAAAATTAGACAGAATTAAATAAGCTGTCAATAATAACGAATAACAAAAAATTATTAACAAAAATAAATGAAACAGAGTTACAAACTAATTTGATACTGTAAATCGAAACCTTTTTTCTTCTTGACGTCCTCCCTGTGGATATAGACCGGCTCCTTGTGGATGGGTTTACGTTCGGGGGTGGAGACGTGTCCCTCGCGCCCTTTCACCCGTCCCACTTTAGCCTTGAGCTTCACTGATTGCTTCTCCTGCTTCTGCTGCTGGGGAGTCTTCTCCTTCTTGACTGGTGGGGCTGGGACCCGGTCGGCTCTCAGGGGCTCGATCTGCTCTGTAGCCATACTCTTGTCATCATCCACATCTACAGTGCAGAGATCTAGGTATAAAATAGACATGATAAGGTCATCATGCAGTAGTACTACGGACACAACACAATATAAGGGAACAACACTCATAAATTGGGTATAACAGTGTTAACGTAACTTTGTTATGATGATGAAATATGAAGTCTTCATTATGAAAAGGTTGTAATAAACATGAATATGTGCTTGTACTATTGCATTTTCTAACCTCTGATTATATAATTATTAGTGGTCATTGAAACGTCATTTATCTGTCATTGAAACATGTATTATGGGATTATAACAGAGAGAAATCTCACCTTGAGTGTCGACCCAAGAGCTGTCTAGGATGGAGTCGTCCATGGTGGTCTCGTCTCTGTCGTAGCTCTCTGTCTGTCCCTCCGTCTCTGTCTGCACCTCCTTCTCGGGGGAGGCCTGCACCTCCTTCTCACGGAACTCCTCTGAGACATCCCCCACCTCCTCCAGACTAGCTGCCTCCATGATCTCCACCTCCTGGGACTCCTCCTCCTCCTCCTCTTCCTCCTGCTCGTGAAGAGCCTGTGGTGTCTCAGGCTCAGGCGGAGCAGAGAAACGCACGCTGTGTCCTGGCTCCTCGCCCTCGTCGATGGTCTGGACTACAGTGATGAAGTCATCTTCTACGGTCACCACTGACTCTATGGCAGCTCTGGGTTCTGGAACGTCATCCACCGCTGCTCCTGCTAAAACTTCACCATCTTCCTCTTCCTCCTCTTTGTCTTTCATTATATTATTCTCAATCTTCTCTTCTTTCTCTCCAGGCTTTGTTGGATTTATCTCTATCATGATTTCCTCTGGTTCCACTGCCTGCTCTATATCCTCCTCCTCCTCCTCCCCCTCTTTCTTTTTATTTTCTTCCATGGTCTTCTCTTTGACCTCTACAACCTGCTCCTTCTTCAGCTTCTCTTCGCTAACTTCCCCTTTCTCTTCTTCTGTGGTGCTCACACCACCACCTGACACAGACGGAGACGTCGCCATGATGTCAACCTTTGGAGGCGTTGTCTGGCCTCCCGTCTGTTTAGGTTTCTCTGTGTCCGTAACTGGAACCTTCTCTTCTTCTGTGGTGCTCTCCACGGAGGAGGCCGGGGAGGGCCTGGCGGGCCTGCTGATCCTGTCCTTGGCAACCCCAGTTAGTTGGTAAACATCTTCAGCATCCACCTCCTCGTACGCCTCCTGGTGCACCAAGAATTTGTCCTTCACCTTCTCCCTTAACTCCTGCAGCTCTCGCTCCTCCTCAATGCTCAGGGGCCTGTCCTCCATCTCCAGCCGGCGGATCTGCCTCTCGTAGGCAGCCATCTCAGCGTCTGTCTCTGGTCCCTCGGTCTCTGCCTTTCCCTCCTCATCCAGGGTGACCATCACTTTAGGAGTCACAAAGGACTCTGCTGACTTCAGAGGTGAAGCCGGTTTGTATTTTTGGTCCTCCATTGCAGATTTTTCATGGCTGATCTCTTTGTTGTCTTTTTCCTCTGAAGCGGAATCTTTCCGTCCCACTTGTTTGGCTTCTTCCTTTTCTTTGGAACCATCGCACGTAGCTAACTGACTTGTCTTCTCGTCTTCGGCTAGTTTGTCTCTGGCGTCGATCTTCAGTTTCTCCTTTGCCATCTTTTCCTCCAGAGCCATAGGGGTGAAGCGCTGGGGCGGGGAGTCAATGGGACTATGGAGGTCAGCAGGGGAAGGCATGGGCCCTGAGTACTCACTGAACACACAGTAACCCAACTCCTCCAGCTGGCTCTCACTCTTGGCAAGACTCTGGCTCTGATTCTGGTCCCCCAGGACCAGGTTGGCCAGGGAGTCGCTCCCAAAGCCTTGGGCGTCTGCAGGGACGGATTTCCTCCTCATGATCTCTGGGTCATTATTCTCAGAAGCTAGTCTAGACCTGGTGCCTGCAAGGTCCAGCATCTCAGGTAGGTCAGGAGCCATGACTGTCCCGTTTTTGTAGTAGTATTTGGGTGGAAAGGGAGACTCCGGGGACTCTGACCCCTGGGGGCTGGTCTTTTCGCCGGGTATCTCTGCTGTGTTGTGGGGAGGAGACGAGGAGTCAGACGTTACTGAGGCGGCCGTCTCCAGGATCAGGGGAGGGAAAGGCAGGGGGCACCTTCTCCGCAGACAGGGTGGTAACTGGGAGATAGTTGACAGACTCATCCAGACTGCCACTGGTAAAAGACATGATGTCCGTGGCCAGTGGGGAGAAGTTCCTAGGTAGACCCTGGCCGCTGGGATCCATCGATCCAATCGTAATGTTGAGAGAGTAGCTTCTCTGATCCAGGGCCAACTTCCCGGGAGAAAGCCTACATTCGTTACTCCTGTCCAGGGCCGGTAAGGTATCCTTTTGATATCCCATCGGACTCTTTTTGGTGTACGGCTTCTTCTCCACTGACTGTGTTTGTGCCAGCATGCTGTAGTTGATCTCAGGGGGTGACGGAACTGTTGGGGAACTTCTCCCTAAGCTCTTCTCTTCTCCTGCTGTGCTCAGTTCATAATAACCTTCTGCTGCTTGAACCCCCTTGGATCCCTCGTCTGCCTTCAGGGCCGAAGTCTCGAAATAAGACGACATGCCAGATTTGTCTTTGTTAGAGTCAGAGGAGACACCTTGACCTTGATCTTTGTCTCCAGCTGTAGTGAACCCAGACCCTGCAACCGTGGTGAGGTTACTGGACTCAAGAACTTCCACTGACGGCTGCTTCTCTGAGACTGTTTTAGGTTCATCCGGTATAGACATTTTGATAGGCTCTTTTGGCTTGGCTCTGGATGTTAGAAAGGAACGGGGACGGAGAAGCCATGTCCGTTTTGGGGCACAGGGGTGGTGCTGCGTGGTCCCCACTGAAGAAAGCTGGACACTCTGGTTCAGTGGAGTCTGGTCTGAGGGATCCACTCCTCTCACTGCCTGGTTTGTCTGTGTCCATCTTCAAGTCTGTAAGTTAAATCTTTAGTAGTTTGTTTGGTTTTGCTTCAACATTCAGCTATTAATTGTAAGCTATTTTGTTTTAGGACAGCCATTTTAAACAGGGCCGGCCATACTATCACAGACACAGGCAAAGCTCTGCTTACTGTTGCACAATATAGAGGGCATCGCACGAGGCAGGACAGGAGCACGAGGCAGGACAGGAGCACGAGGCAGGACAGGAGCATGAGGCAGGACAGGAGCACAAGGCAGGACAGGAGCATGAGGCGGAACCCATGAGGCAAAACCCACTTACATATGGACGGAACAGAGGCATGGAACGTGATGGAACATGATGGAACCGGAATGACGGAACTGGAATGCGCAGGCAGCCATGGTGTTGATGGATGAGAAGAATCAAACAATGAGGAATGGAATGGTTTTCCGACCAGTGACGACTAGGCAAAACTAATAGAAGTAAAATAATAGCCTTTCTGTCATTCTGTCAAGTCTTAGTGAGAAATCATAATGATTTGCATTTAGCTAAATATCTACTTTACACCATGATTTATCAGTGTGTATAGAATAATTTGAGCTTTGATTAATTAACATCAATACATATTTAACTTTTAACTTTGAGGATATACAATAATTGGAGGATATACAATAATTGATCATCAAATGTCGTTGTTAGTATAAGGTTTTTAAGTTCAACAAAAAAATGTACATTGAACATTAGGAACAATTATAGAATAACACTGTATTAACACAATATCAAACAGATGAAAACCAGTGAAATGGCACTAGAAAAATACAATAAAAACACTCTGATATTATTACAATGACAGCTTAAGGAAAGCTGAACCAAAAATACAGCTGAAACCAATAGAGAACGGGTGATTTACATGATATACAGTACCAGTCAAAAGATTGGACACACCTACTCATTCCAGGGTTTTTCTCTATTTTTCCTATTTTCTACATTGTAGAATAATAGTGAAGACATCAAAACTATGAAACAACACATATGGAATCATGTAGTAACCAAAAAAGTGTTAAACAAATCCAAATATATTTAATATTTGAGATTCTTCAAAGTAGCCACCCTTTGCCTTGATGACAGCTTTGCACACGTTTGGCATTCTCTCAACCAGCTAAATGAGTTAGTCACCTGGAATATATTTCAATTAACAGGTGTGCCTTGTTAAAAGTTAATTTGTGGAATTTCTTTCCTTCTTAATGCGTTTGAGCCAATCAGTTGTGTTGTGACAAAGTAAGGGTGGTATACAGAAGATAGCCCTATTTGGTAAAAGACCAAGTCCATATTATGGCAAGAACAGCTCAAATAAGCAAAGAGAAACGACAGTCCATCATTACTTAAGACATGAAGGTCAGTCAATACGGAACATTTCAAGAACTTTGAAAGTTTCTTCAAGTGCAGTCGCAAAAAGCAAATAAAATAAAATAAAATTATATTTGCCAAATGCGCCGAATACAACAGGTGTAGACCTTACAGTGAAATGCTTACTTACAAGCCCTTAAACAACAATGCAGTTTTAAACCATCAAGCGCTATGATAAAACTGGCTCTCATGAGGATCGCCAAAGGAAAGGAAGACCCAGAGTTACCTCTGCTGCAGAGGATAAGTTCATTAGAGTTAACTGCACCTCAGACTGCAGCCCAAATAAATGCTTCACAGAGTCAGGCCTTCATGGTCGAATTGCTGCAAAGAAACCACTACTAAAGCACACCAATAATAGGAAGAGACTTGCTTGGGCCAAGAAACACCAGCAATGGACATTAGACCGGTGGAAATCTGTCCTTTGGTCTGATGATCCAAATTTGAGATTTTTGGTTCCAACCGCCATGTCTTTGTGAGATGCAGAGTAGGTGAACGGATGATCTCCGCATGTGAGGTTCCCACCGTGAAGCATAGAGGAGGAGGTGTGATGGTGTGGGGGTACATTGCTGGTGACACTGTCAGTGATTTATTTAGAGTTCAAGGCACACTTAACCAGCATGGCTACCACAGCATTCTGCAGTGATACACCATCCCATCTGGTTTGCGCTTAGTGGGACTATCATTTGTTTTTCAACAGGACAATGACCCAAAACACACCTCCAGGCTGTGTAAGGGCTATTTGACAAAGAAGGAGAATGATGGAGTGCTGCATCAGATGACCTGGCCTCCACAATCACCCGACCTCAACCCAATTGAGATGGTTTGGGATGAGCTGGACCGCGGAGTGAAGGAAAAGCAGCCAACAAGTGCTCAGCATACGTGGGAACTCCTTCAAGAAAAGCATTCCTTATGAAGCTGGTTGAGAGAATGCCAAGAGTGTGCAAAGCTGTCATCAAGGCAAAGGGTGGCTACTTTGAAGAATCTAAAATTTAAAATATATTCTGAATTCTTTATCACTTTTTTGGTTACTACATGATTCCATATGTGTTATTTCATAGTTTTGATGTCTTCATTATTATTCTACAATGTAGGTGTGTCCAAACTTTTGACAGGTACTGTATAAATGAGACATCCATATGGGAAACAACACTGGCAGAAAGACACTGAGTGATAGGTTAACACCAATGAGACATCAACACATCGATAGGTAGCATCAGAGACTGGAAAGCATGGTCAGGAGGATCGGCAACATTTCATTAATACACGAAAAGGCCGGCCTCAAAAACTGCAGCTAGAAACTGAAAACACAAGCAAAGAGAAAGCAAAAAGAAAGAAATCAGGAGGAAAGTTTTTAAACATGTCTCCTAGCTTTTCACCGTCAAGCCTGTGTTGCCTTGCAGCCTTTAGCAGAGCGTAGAGTGGGGGGCAACTTTGAGCCATTCCACCTCATTTAATCACTGATGAATTCCCTTTTAAGCCTAAAGATTCTTATTGTCTATAAACAATACAATAACATGCATCCTGGGAAACCAGAAAGAGGGCAGACAGACACACCTTCATCAAGGCTCTCCTCCTGCCCCTCAGGCACTGCCACCTCCTCCTCAACCTCCTCCTCCCTCCCGTTAGGGCCATCAAGAGCGGCACTAATTGCCTCGGCCTGCACAGGGGGCACAGCCTGGGCCTCGCCTACAGCCTCAGCCTGTTCTAAGGGCTTGGTTGGGGGGCCGTCCAGCTCAGGCTCATCCCCACTCCACAGCTCCTCAAGAGCAGCCACGATTTCTGCTGCTGCCCCTTCCATCTCCTCATCCTCCTCCTCCTCCAACATCAACACCTCTTCCTCCTCCTCCTCCTCCTCCTCCTCCTCCTCCTCTTCGAAGGTGTCTGTAAGAGCCTCGACAGTCTCTACTTTGCATAAAAGAAGGGGAGAGGTGGACAGTACACATCAAGACTATGGGTTGGCAACACAGACTTGAGTTACATGGGTACAAATCGGTGAGACACTTTCAGCTCTGTAAAGGTGGCTCACAGATATAGATGCACTGCTCACAGATGTTGTAGCGTATGAGTGAGTGACGTTTCTCCCATGGCCATGTGATTTGTTTGGGTTTGGACTGTATGGATGTTTTGGATCATAGAGTTTAAGCAGGCAGAGGATTTTCTTTATATTAATAATATCAAATAATCCTGAAAGATAGACAGGTACCGGTCGAGCTCACTGTTGAATGTTCCTGCAGTTTTATTGAGTGCAACTGTGACAGAGAGGACCCAAAAGTCTTCATCAGGCTCTAAAATAATCCTCACCTCTGTCTGTCCAATCTGCTGTGGCTCTATGTTATCAAAAAGGCACACAATGACCATAGTCCCTCTCTCTCTGTCACACACACCATGCCAACACACCACATCAGGTTATTTCCATTCAAATGTACATTTATCAGTAAGAAAATGCATGCATGATACGCTATAACAGTCTTTTGCAAGCAAAGTTGTGTAGCTATACATACATTTTATACATAATATACTAAGTGGACATTGCCTTCCCCTTATCAGTTGAGAGAAGAGCCACAGAAACATAAATCCCATTCCCAGCTCATCCAAGTTCTGTAACCATTTTCTGACTTGATGTAGGCAGTGTAGGCACTAGGCAGAGAACGTGTCCTTTATCACTGTTCTAGGATCAGTCCTCAACCCTCCAAACCCAAACCATTAGAAGATAGAAACAGATCTAGCCCACAAACAAGCATATCCTCGCATCCTCTCTCTGTCATCATGGAGCTGGGTGCCTCTGCTCCTAACTCCTAAACTGTCATGCCGCCTGCGATTCTGAAATCCTGCTTAGAGGCAGAAAGACGCTGCTCAATTCAACGGGCTTTATGCGGCGCTATGCCTCGCCATGTGGCACGGTGCTCAGGGTTTTAGATGTGATAGCCTGGCGACTGGGCTGCTGTGTGTGTGTCTGTGTGGGGAGCAGGGCAGTGACTGGATGTGGCAGCGTGATGGGTCACATCACAGCTGGGACTCTCTCTCTGCCCAGGGAGAGACAGAGAGGAGGACTGATGCCATACAGTCTACAAGCCGGAAACATAGTGGAGAGGAGAGGACTGCTAAATCTACAGATGTAGGAACTTAATTTGAGCCAGTTTTCTACAGCAGGAAAATAATCCTGAAGCAAAAGGAAATGTGAATTATTATGTGGATTATAATTAATGGACATTATTGTAGGGCTCGAAAAAATTTTCATAAGGGAAAATCAAGTCTGAAATTTCAAAGTGGAAATTACAGACTTCAGAAGCCTTTTTAAACCTCAAATACACTACACGTTTTAACATTTCCTGCATTGTAGGAAAGTTCTCCTGCAACAGGGTGATCAAATTAAGATCCTACATCTGTAGCTTCAGGGGATCTCTCTGCCCAGGGAGAGACAGAGAGGACTGATGCCTTATACTGTAACACTTCCAGCTGTCTCCTGGAGACAGAGTGGAGACAGAGAGGAGACAGAGAGGAGAGGGCTGCTAAACCTCCAGCCTAGTACAGCCCTGATGAGGTGTTAAGTAAGGACATGTTTTTGTTTACTAATACTATAAGCCTTTTAGAGTTGTGAGAGAGCGTGTTGAGAGTGTGTGTGAAGTATGTCCTTAAAGAGCTTGTGTGTGTATATGCAGAGTGTTGTGTGTCGAGCTGAAAGTCGTCCTGTGATTTCTGTGATCTAATAATAATCTACAACGGGTGTGTGTGTGTAAGGGCGGGTGGTGGGACGCATGAGAAGGGGCCTGATGGGAGGGATCAGGGATGAGTTTGTCTTTGAGGGAGAGATGACAGACACACAATACGCATGAAGCATTAAGATGACACTGACAGGCAGAGAGGAAAACGTGCATGAAACAAGTCTTAGATCATGCACAACAATCCACTGTATATTGCTGCAAGCCATTTGGACCTGCATGCCACTCTATTTACATGATATGCATATGACATTGTTTGACCTGTATACATAAACATGTGAACACTTCATGATATGCATCCTTGCAAGTAAGCACATGTACGTTTAAGAATTTCCTCAGCCCAGTTTGTATTCAAATTTAAAAATCAATACAGTTATTGATTAGTTATCTTTATCGGATCACTTTGATAAATGATGCACATTTATCAGATTACTTTCAGAAGGTATGGGGGGCTTCCGGAGGCAACATTAACTAAAGGGAACAAACGGCTTTGATTGAGATATAGAAATAAAAAGGAAATTACTAGATAATCAAAACATCACAAAACAAAGCGCTCAGATTATTTGAGCTAATTGACACCACAGGGACACAAACACACAGACGGTAAGACGGAGGTTGTTGGTCAAACTACAGAAAAGGTGGATCGGGGTAAAAAAAGAGACGGACAAAGAGGAAGATAGGAGGAAGAAAGGACGATAGGAAGGAAGAATGGCGTTACGTAGAGGAACCATGCGTGGTTCACCTTGGATCTGTCTAAAGGCAGCGGCCAGCACTGTGGGCTGAGAGGAGACCGAGCGATCCCACTCAGGGCTGAACAAGGGGTGATCATAGTATTCCTCATCAGAGTGGTAGGGGTCATCCTCGGGTACAGACACAGAGATGGAGGGGGCGAGGAAATTGCACCTCTCCCGAGAATTTTGGAAGCGGCGGAGAGGGCAGGCCTCCTCCTCCTCATCCTCTACATCTACAAACAACAGACACACAGGAGAAGAACATACTGCAGGGGAAATCTGGACACACACACAGAAACACACAGGGAGGGAGGGAGGGAGGGGGGAGAGGGATGTAGTGTTGGGGGGGAGAGAGACAGAGAGAGAGAGCGCGCGAGAGAGAGAGAGAGAGAGAGAGAGAGAGAGAGAGAGAGAGAGAGAGAGAGAGAGAGAGAGAGAGAGAGAGAGAGAGAGAAAGAAAGAGAAGCAGAGAGAAAGAGAGAGACTGAGGAGATAGATGAGAAACTGACAGAGAAAGAGAAAAGGAAAGAGAGAGAGAGAGAACAAGAGAAAAAGTCAGATAAAGGGTGAAAGAGAGAGAGAGGCAACAAGACAAAGACACAAGGACAGTGGCCAGCAACTGAAAGTGAGTTTGGAGCCTGCTATACTCAAAGAGAAGATGGGTGGACCACACAGTCAGAACAACGTAACAGAGACAGCAATGTAAAGCGATGTAACAATGAAATCCATTGAAAGCCAGTGTTAGTGAACCGACTGCTGAAGTGCTGATGAACAGTGTTGTAGTGCCATCAGTGGGCCGACAACTTTGCCAGCGGCGGGCCGCTAGTGGGCCACTACATGCTTGTTTGCTAGGTGTTTGCTCACTGCCCCTAGTAGCTCAGTGGTGCCAAGGTATTCTCTTATAAAAAAAACTAAACCATTACTAAATGATTTGAAAAATATATTTAAATCTAAGGGAGATGGCTATGATTCATTATATAGGAAGAGAGGAAGCTATGTAGCTAACAAGTCAATTCAACTACCAATAACCAGTCTGTCTGAGCATGGCTGTCTCCTCCCACAAAATCTGTCATAGGTCACATGTCCACTGCAGTCAGAGTAGACTAGACAAACACAGACAACAGACAACAGGCCAGGCACGATCAGAAACAAACCAGGAAGACAAAAAAGCATGGGCCAACAACAAGCAAAAATCAACAAGAAGACATGCTTGATGAAGGTGTGTCTGTCTAAAGACAAAGACACATAAGTGGAAACAGAAGAGGTTAGGAAGGCAAACAGGCTACCAGAGTTATATCTGCAAGGACAGGAGGGGTGGATGATCAAAGTTAGAGGGGAGGAAGGATGCCGGTGGGGGGTGAGGAGGGGCAAGGTCATGCACTGGCATTCCAAGATGCATGGTCAGGGAAGGGGGGAAGATAAAGGAGTATGGGCTTGTGAATGGAGTGATTGAGGTAAAGAAGTGATGAAGGTGAGACAATTTCTAATTCCAGGGGAAAAGGAAGATAAGGAGGAGGGAGAATACTTATGTTTACTTCCACAAAAAGAGAATACATGTCTAAGAAACACTTCCTGGGTTTCTGTGTAACAACATGATCCAGGTGATTGGTTAGCCCCAAGGTGACACATACTGTATCCTCCAAGGCAGGAGGAATGGGGTTCCAAGGGTCTCAGCACGGTCAAATACAGTCTTGATGATAACACATCATTTACACACAGTTCTCTCCTTCTCCATCTCTCTCTCTCTCTCTCTCTCTCTCTCTCTCTCTCTCTCTCTCTCGCTCTCTCGCTCTCTCGCTCTCCCTCTCCCTCTCCCTCTCCCTCTCCCTCTCCCTCTCCCTCTCCCTCTCCCTCTCTCCGGACCTTACCTTGCTCCAGAGGTCTGAAGCGGTGCTCAGCAGCAGGTGAGGGAGGAGGGGAGGGGGGCAGGTTTGCCGTATCTTCAACTACAGAAAGACAAAACAGAAGGGGACAGACAAGCATGGAGGGATGAGAATTTATAGGGCGTGAAGTTTGAAAACAGCTAGCTAATTGACAACCCTGTGTGTGTCTGTTGAGATAGTAGCTGATTAAGCCTGGAGAGGAGAGGAGGTAATGAATGAGTCTTTCTGCTCTCTCTCTCTCTACCTGTCTCTCTCTGGTTAATCCTTTAAAGCTCCTCTGACAGTCTCTGTGAACAGTAGAGATGGGAATAAATACTATAATGGCTGTTTTTCGCTGAGTAATTCCTCCAGTGAGGATTCTCTGGTGGACATTTTATGAAATGCGAGGGAAGAATTCGGCTTCATCATTTCAAGAAGCTGCATTTATATTATCAACTGTAATAGTGAATTAGCTAATACTAGTAATACAAATACATTACTGTAATACAAATACATTTACAACAGACAGCCTATTTAAAGCAATGCAGAACTGGCTCTGTTGTAGCCTCTACAGTATATCCCCATTTTGATGTGTATCTGTCAGCTCCACACTCCATAGATGTAGTATGCAGTAGATTTGCTGACAGACAGAGTCCTCACTGCTGGTTATTATAGATGTGCTGACAGACAGATGTCCCATTAGGGGATAGAGAAGCTCAGGGCCGTGCACAGACCCTATTTATTTCTGTAACAACACACTCACTCATCACAAATTGTGAGCAAGCTAGTTACAGTGCCTCCTACATTTACATTTTAGTCATTTAGCAGACGCTCTTATCCAGAGCGACTTACAGTTAGTGAATACATATTTTTTTATACTGCCCCCCGTGGGAATCGAACCCACAACCCTGGCGTTGCAAACGCCATGCTCTATCAACTGAGCTACATCCCTACCGGCCATTCCCTCCCCTAACCTGGACGACGCTGGGCCAATTGTGCGCCGCCCATGAGTCTCCCGGTCGCGGCCGGCTGCGACAGAGCCTGGATTCGAACCAGGATCTCTAGTGGCACAGCTAGCACTGCGATGCAGTGCCTTAGACCACTGCGCCACTCAGGAGACAAAGACATGACTGACATTGGGAAAAGAGGGAACGCTATCAGCTGATCATTGATGTTGATGATTGATGTAAATCTTCTAGTTAGCTAGCTAGATTTTATTTTTTATGATTGTGATTTATCTTCAATGCTCTTAAATAATAACTTCATAATATAGCTTAATATTCATAATTTCTAACTCATGATATATGGCTGGCTGGCTAGAGGCTTGTGTGTATATTTTAGTATAGGGAGGTCAGCTAGAGTCTAGACTACCTGTGTTCAGTGCTTAAAAATTAATTAATTAATTATTTGCAGATCGGGAGGTGCCGGAACAAAAAGTGGGTGTGAGAGGGTAGTGACCTGGGGAGCTCTGAAGTACCAGAACACATGAGGGAAAAAAATGCACCTTTATAATAACGCATTGCATGCATAGCCTATCAGCGCATTTGCGTGTAATGACATTGAGTAGAAGAGTAGAGGCGCTTAGAATTTTCACACACAGGGAAACATTTTAGTAGCCTAGTGTCCGGGAAAAATGTGGCCTTTTATAAACACATTTAATGCAATTCTACATAATTTTTTATGACTAGAGACTTTGGCAGAACCTTTTTTCATAGGCCTAACGCACAAATGATTGAAATGACAGGCTACTTTGACACTGACAAACTGAGAATCTGAGATAAATAAAAACGACCTTGTCTTGAATCCATCAACAGCCTAGGCCTAGGTGAGTAGAGACACACATGTTGTAATATACTGTAAGGATGACATTATAATCCTAAAAAAGCTTTCACTGACTCACCCAATCATGCGCAGCTCACTCGCCGGAGATGGCCATGCACCCATGCCAAAAGCCTATCTCTCTCTTGTTTTACTTATACTGAACAAAAATATAAACGCAAGATGTAAAGTGTTGGTCCCATGTTTCATGAGCTGAAATCAAATATCCCAGAAATGTTCCATACACAAAAATCGTATTTCTCTCAAATGCTGTCCACAAATTAGTTTACATCCCTGTTAGTGAGAATTTCTCCTTTGCCAAGATAATCCATCCACCTGACAGGTGTGGCATATCAAGAAGCTGATTAAACAGCATGATCATTACACAGGGGCACCTTGTGCTGTGGACAATAAAAGGCCACTCGAAAATTTGCAGTTTTGTCACACAACACAATGCCACAGATGTCTCAAGTTTTGAGGGAGCGGGCAATTGGCATGCTGACTGCAGCAATGTCCAACAGAGCTGTTGCCAGATAATTTAATGTTCATTTCTCTACCATAAGCCATCTCCAACGTCATTTTAGTGAACTTGGCAGTACGTCCAACTGGCCTCACAACCGCAGACCTCATGTAACCACGCCAGCCCAGGACCTCCACATCTGGCTTCTTCACCCTCGGGATCGTCTGAGACCAGCCACCCAGACAGCTGATGAAACTGAGGAGTATTTCTGTTTGTAATAAAGCCCTTTTGTGGGGAAAAACTAATTCTGATTGTCTGGGCCTGGCTCCCCAGTGGGCGCCCCTGCCCAGTCATGTGATATCCATAGACTAAGGCCTAATGAATTTGTTTCAATTGACAGATTGTTTCAAGTACAACTCCGTAATATCGTTGAAATTGTTGCATGTTGCGTTTATATTTTTATAAGAAATAAATGATGAAGTGCTGCTGTGCTTCAGCCAACCAGACTGAATATTGATGATGATGTAAATCAAGTGTTAATCAAATGTTATGCTGCTGTGGCAGTACTGTTTATATTTAAACTAGGTATCTTGCTACACACACTCGACCGGTGACCGCATCTCAAGACATGCATTGTTTGGATACTGGGTGCACGCAATCTCCGTACAGGGCAGACTGGGAAAAAGGCACATGTGAGTGCCGTACAGAGCAGACCAACTGACGGGTAGGGGTGGTGAACTTGACGTCACAACGACTTGGGGGCAGTCGGTTCAGAACAATTTTTTTTTAAATATATATACACCACCACCCAAAAGGGCACTTGGTGAGTGGGAGGGCAAAGGGGCAGGTGCTCAGGCACAGGTAGACCCCTATCTACTACATGTTGAGGGTCAATGTTGCTATGTGGTCTCCAGATGGCTGATCTGGGATCTGCTCTGCTTTGCTCTGGGCTTACTCCCCCACCACTACCACCATGTTAGATCTTCTCTGACAGCTGTCCGGTCCTAGCACTGCTCTTTAATCCCTACACACGCACACACACATGCACACATGCACGCACGCACACACACACAGACGTACACACACACACCAACAGCACCATTTTAGTCCATTGACATCGGCCAAAAGGACCTCTGTGTCACTCTCAGAATAGCTATGCTCCCTCTGGAGGGGTGGGGAGGGAAGAGACGGGAGGGTCGTGTGTGTGTACCTGACTGCAGTCTTGTCTCCTGTTCTCCCTTCAGTACTGCCACTGCTTCCGCTGTCACCTCCTGCACGATTCGCGCAGACACTTGCTCTGTGGGACACACACACACACACACACACACACACATAGACACACACATAAACACACACAGTTAGACACACAGGCACCCACAGTCATCAGTGACATGTCTAGACCAACAATATCTTGCTAATCATAGCGTGTTAAGGAAATATTTACTTAAGGTCAGTACTTATTGATAGATAATTCATTTAATGATTGCTTTCTGTCTATCTAAGGCTGAATGTTTAATATGCAGAGAACCATGGTGAGAGAAAATTACAAAATAAAAATATGAAATAGACAATCTATACTTGGCAGCATTCTAACTGCAGGCATCACCATGGAAACACCAGTTCAGACAGGAAGACAGCAGCCAAACCTACTGGCCAATCAGAAATGGCTCTGGCTGTGGGCCTGTGATTGGCTGATAACTTTTAGTCAGCAATGGTGTGGGATGCCCAGGTCATACTCACTACAAACCAAAAGGAAGCAACGGAAGCATATTTTTTGTCGTAAAACGTTTGCTACGGTGTGCACTAATGAACATGACCCGGATACACTCCACTGGTCACAAACTATTTAATCTAGATGATACCTTTACCCATAGGTTTACAGTACAATGATTAAAACAGCAATTAAACCACCTAGGATGATAAAGATGATGTTAAGTAATTGTAAAACTGATGTGGAGTGGACTGAGGTCAGAAGAACATTGATTTGTATGTATGTGTGTGTGTGGGTGTGTGTATGTAGGGTTTGTGTATACAGTGGGGAAAAAAAGTATTTAGTCAGCCACCAATTGTGCAAGTTCTCCCACTTAAAAAGATGAGAGAGGCCTGTAATGTTCATCATAGGTACACGTCAACTATGACAAACAAATTGAGAAAAAAATGTCCAGAAAATCACATTGTAGGATTTTTTATGAATTTATTTGCAAATTATGGTGGAAAATAAGTATTTGGTCACCTACAAACAAGCAAGATTTCTGGCTCTCACAGACCTGTAACTTCTTCTTTAAGAGGCTCCTCTGTCCTCCACTCGTTACCTGTATTAATGGCACCTGTTTGAACTTGTTATCAGTATAAAAGACACCTGTCCACAACCTCAAACTCCACTATGGCCAAGACCAAAGAGCTGTCAAAGGACACCAGAAACAAAATTGTAGACCTGCACCAGGCTGGGAAGACTGAATCTGCAATAGGTAAGCAGCTTGGTTTGAAGAAATCAACTGTGGGAGCAATTATTAGGAAATGGAAGACATACAAGACCACTGATAATCTCCCTCGATCTGGAGCTCCACGCAAGATCTCACCCCGTGGGGTCAAAATGATCACAAGAACGGTGAGCAAAAATCCCAGAACCACACGGGGGGACCTAGTGAATGACCTGCAGAGAGCTGGGACCAAAGTAACAAAGCCTACCATCAGTAACACACTACGCCGCCAGGGACTCAAATCCTGCAGTGCCAGACGTGTCCCCCTGCTTAAGCCAGTACATGTCCAGGCCCGTCTGAAGTTTGCTAGAGTGCATTTGGATGATCCAGAAGAGGATTGGGAGAATGTCATATGGTCAGATGAAACCAAAATATAACTTTTTGGTAAAAACTCAACTCGTCGTGTTTGGAGGACAAAGAATGCTGAGTTGCATCCAAAGAACACCATACCTACTGTGAAGCATGGGGGGTGGAAACATCATGCTTTGGGGCTGTTTTTCTGCAAAGGGACCAGGACGACTGATCCGTGTAAAGGAAAGAATGAATGGGGCCATGTATCGTGAGATTTTGAGTGAAAACCTCCTTCCATCAGCAAGGGCATTGAAGATGAAACGTGGCTGGGTCTTTCAGCATGACAATGATCCCAAACACACCGCCCGGGCAACGAAGGAGTGGCTTCGTAAGAAGCATTTCAAGGTCCTGGAGTGGCCTAGCCAGTCTCCAGATCTCAACCCCATAGAAAATCTTTGGAGGGAGTTGAAAGTCCGTGTTGCCCAGCGACAGCCCCAAAACATCACTGCTCTAGAGGAGATCTGCATGGAGGAATGGGCCAAAATACCAGCAACAGTGTGTGAAAACCTTGTGAAGACTTACAGAAAACGTTTGACCTGTGTCATTGCCAACAAAGGGTATATAACAAAGTATTGAGAAACTTTTGTTATTGACCAAATACTTATTTTCCACCATAATTTGCAAATAAATTCATAAAAAATCCTACAATGTGATTTTCTGGATTTTCTTTTCTCATTTTGTCTGTCATAGTTGACGTGTACCTATGATCAAAATTACAGGCCTCTCTCATCTTTTTAAGTGGGAGAACTTGCACAATTGGTGGCTGACTAAATACTTTTTTCCCCCACTGTATATGTTGTATTGTAAACCTTAGTGAACCATACATCCATGATTCCTGTGCATATGGACTCCAATATATACTGTAGATCCATACCATATCCTTAATTTTACACTCATGAGCTTTACTGTCATCATTTAGTGTTTTTGAGAATGTCAGTCTCCTGAACCGTGTAATTGACATGGCAACAGTGTATTTCAGTGGGATTAGTTAGTTGGTGGTGGAAAGCTTTTGTTGTCACGACGTGGAGCTGTTTCAGGACCATTTTCCACCCACCAGACACTCACACACACATGCACACAGACACATGCAAGCATGTATCTGCACAAACACGCACAAACACGCACAAACACACACACACACACACACACACACACACACACACACACACACACACACACACACATACACACGTCTTCCGGGAACACTCACCCACTCAAATTAGCCTGCTTTCTGTGGTTCCATTTTACAGAGAAAAGGAGTGCCATACACACATGGACAGATACTTGTCATTGCCTAGCAGATCAACCACACAGCATGACATTCCAACAAACACAGTCCAGCGCTGCGTCTCAAATAACACCTGTGTTGTACTTCTCTTGACCAGAGCCCCACGGGCAATTTTCAGTGTCCGCATAGAAGCAAAGCAAATTGCCATCGTCAGAGGTTCTATGCCCTTTTCTAGTCATTCTTTTACTTTTGTCTCTATCCTGATTCTTTCGACAACACCATAACATCATTCTATTCTAGAGCCCATAGCTTGGTTATGATGAACTCCCTCCAGACAGACAGACAGACATGTGCCGCTCACGCCCTCACCTAGACAGATACCCACTCTCCATCGCTCTTGCCCTCCCTCCCTCCCTCTTCACAGACTGGGCAGTGATGTGTCCTGCATCCAGATCAAATTCTGTCTCGAATGCACACGACGACACGTTCTCACACACATCTCCAACACACACATGCACACACACACACACACACAGCATCACCAGGTCGTTGGGTTAATTCCAGTGAAACAGCACTATCTGACAGAAACAAACCACACACACAAAATAAACATATCTACTGTCTACTCTAATTCTAATGATAGCTGTCTTCTTCAGTCTCGTTTCAGCCCTTCCTGACAGAAGGAGTTGTGTCAAAATCCATTTACAGTGACAGATCTTACTTATCTTACCAAGTTTGTCTCATTGGCCTTAACACATGAATAAATAAATAAATAAATAAAAACATGACAAATAAAAATAAGGCACATTTTATATCAATAAAACACCAGTGTAAAAGAGAAGAACAGTTATACTCTAATCCAAAGCCACAACTACAATCCTCCCAGACATGCAGACAATGCTGTACTGAGCTACACTACCAGGACAGAAAAGGTTTTTTTATTACCTGTACTGGTTAGACCAGACCAGACCAGTAGAGCAAAGCGAAAACTGATTCTCTTTGAGCAGAGACCTGAGGCAGCCACAGAGTCAGACACACTGCCAAATGCAGGCTTGCACCTCACCGCAGGGTGGAGAGGGGAGAAAGAGAGAGAGAGAGAGAGAGAGAGAGAGAGAGAGAGACAGCCGGCGAGATACCACCGCCAAAACTCTGTGTTGCCACAGCAACACACAACCTAGGAGGTCTGGGCCCTGTCTAATTGTGAGCTATGGTTGCTCTGTTCCCATCCTCAGCCCCTCCCCTCATCTCCCCTCTCTCGCAATGTCTGTGAGAGCTCACCTGCCACACCCATGACCAACATGATGCTGCCAAAGGTATTGACTGACTGAATAACTGCACCCCCTGTACATGGTGAAGCTCATGAACACCATGACAACTGTGTCCTCCACAACTACCTCAACAGAAAACCATGACAACTGTGTTCTCCACAACCACGTCAACAGAAAACCATGACAACTGTGTCCTCCAGAACCACCCAAACAGACAAGAGTCAAAACAACAGAGTCAAACATCAGTTAATACCATCCTAAAACACAATACACAGATAATGCTGGTGGTTATTATCAGTATAGTTAATATTGAAATGATATTACAGTTTGTATTGAAATGTTATACAGATGTGAATGTCTGTAAATGTTCACAGCATACTACATTGGATGACTAGCAATGCGGCAAGTTTACAAGCTACACATCTCACTTATCCAGTAGACACAGCAGGCCTCCTAATCTTCAGTTCCATACTTTAGTTCTTTGAAGTCATGGACAAGTCTTTGTTGCTCAAGGACATGGCACTTCTCTTCTCAACGCAATCACCCTAATTCAACCCAACGGCTGCTGCATTGAAGCCTCAATTTGCGGCTTCAATGGCTCTTGGGCATCTGGAGGGCTTTAGAGTGGAAAAGCGGCAACTTGCAGGGTTGAAGTGTGCCAACTAGGTCCAACTCTAGGCCCCCTGCCACCCTACTGTACTCCCATCCTGTCCTCCCTGCCCTGGCCTCATAAAACACTCCCTCAGACAGACACAAAGCTGAGGTGGATCTCTCTGTATGATATTGCCAGTGGTCCAGCACCCATATTCACAAAACCTCTCAGAGTAAGAGAGCTGGTATAGGATCAGCTTTGCCTTTTAGATCATAATAAATAAGATTCCATGGACAGGGAGGACCTGATCTTAGATCAGCACTTGTACTCTGAGAGGCTTTGTGACTACGGCTTCAGGTCTTAACTGACACTATCAAACACAGAGGATTGGCACTGCTCTATGGTCAAGACTTGTATTCAGCAGCATTAGGTTTGATACCAATTGATTGTGAGATGATGTTCCAGTGCCTTTAATGTGTCTTGGTGATAATGAGGTAAAAGGAAAACTGCTGGCGTTAGATATAGTCATTATGAAAGACCAGAGAGGAGCAGGTTGTTCTGTCTTCTAAAACACTGACAGACAGGGAACCATGCTGTCCGCTGCCTTCCTTAACAAGCACCATGAGAGAAGCTGTAAGATGCTAAAACAACATTGGAAGTGAGATGATAATTAGGCAATGGCATAGTGTTATGCACGTTCATATTGCATGACACAGCATAATGTCATAGTGTCATGCAGTGTTCTGTTATGGTTGGGTGGAGCTGTATTATGTGTTTGCATAAGTTAAAGGATTCAAAACTCTGTGAAATAAATGTACATTTACATACATCATATTCTTTATATGCCAAACACTTACCTGAAGACTATAGAAAGCACTTGGCATTTAGACACATAATAGTACAACGGCTTCAGTGACCTCGCTAAAAGTCAATGTCTTTGAAAGACAGTTGTAATTACCCGATCGTTCCATCGCTACAGAGTGTGGGGATTAAATGTCAACAAAGTTGTAAATGGACGTTAATTAACAGATGCTCTAGTCAATGTTTGAAACAGACTATTTGAGCACTACCCACACTGTGCAGGCTAGACACTAATGGAGCTCATCCCACAGGGTACAGAAGATACTCTTTGTCTGACTTCCTTACTGCTTCTTCTTGACCAAGTATGGGAAGTGTGGTCTTAAATAGTGCATGGTATTCAATCTAACAGGCTAGGTGAATGATGCTGTCTAAATGAATAATAGACATGAAAGGTCTGGTCCTGGCAACATACCACAGTTACAAAAGAGGTACAGGAGGTTAATACGACTCCTGTCAGAAATGTTGAATATGTTTCTGTTCTGTAAATGGTGGAAAGTGGAGGTAGTGGGTGGTGGTAGGTTCTGTGTGTCAGCAGAAATAGAAATGTAAAGGCAGAAAGACTGCAGGAACAATAGACAGAACAATAGAGCTCTGGCAAACTAAATTGTAGAGGAGCCACTGCCATGGCAACAAGAGGACGGAACAGAGCGGGGTACAGTCAGTGTGTGTTGAGAGGGAGAGAAGGAGAGGGGTGTGTGTGTGTGTGTGTCTCGCTCTGGGAAAACACAGAGATTTTCACCCTTAATTGCCACAGTAATAATGGAGATGAATCTACTGAGGGTGCTTCACTGTTCACTGTTCCTCCCACACAGTGAGAGGTAGGGGCCCACTAAGTGCCTGCTAGACACACACGCACAGAATGACCAACCAAACAGGATGACCAACCAAACAGGATGACCAACCAAACAGGATGACCAACCAAACAGGATGACCAACCCCTGTGTGTGTGTGTGTGTGTGTGTGTGTTTGTGTGTGTGTACAGTGTATATCTGTGCTCAATTCTAATTGACAGGTACAACTCGGCCACATTGTATAGTCACAAAAAGTTTGGTCAATACTGATTAAGTATGTCGGTACAATACAGTAGTTATAGAAGCTCTGTCACTGAGTCTCAGATATCAGGTGTCCTTACCAGCCGTAACTGCTAGGTCGCCGTTGAAGCCGTTCTCTCTGGCGGTGTAGGAGGGTGGTGCTGCTCCATGGGCGGTCCCTGGCTGGCAGGCCCTGTAAGAGGGGGGGTAGCCGTTAGCCCCGTGGGCTGGGGGGGGAGAGGGGTCCTGTGCCCCCGACGGGTCCCAATGGGGGTGGCTGTCCTCAGGTTGGCGACCGTCTGCCATGCTGGAGGTCAGTGGCGGCCAGGGAGGTCTTTCCTTATGGCTGGGAGAAGAAGAAGGAGATTTTTACTTTATTTTCTATTGTCACTGGACACAGAGATTCATCTTTCAGCTTTTTCCCCAACCCGCTCTAGACACACACACACCCACGAAGAGGTTGGAGCACAGGGTCAGCTGCAGTACAGCACCACTGAAGCAGTTTAGAGGGAGGGGAGAGTATATGGTCATGTCATGGCCAATAATAGTGGTAGCATAATGGCTATTAACACTAAAATCGCCACATCCATTTTTGAGGTGTTATGGCACAATGGCTATTAACAGTTTGGCAGGGAGAAGAGACTGTATAAATGTGTTCCTTAGATGGGGTATGATAAGAAACTGGGATAGAATGGTCATGTCACTGTCTTTACAATATGCTGGCACATAATGGTTATCAACACTTTGGCAGGGATACAGAAGGTATTGATTTGGTGGAGGAGAACCAAAGGACATCATTCATATTCAAAACACTGTTTCGCCTCAGCTCACGAATCACCCCCCACATCTACAGACAGACTGGAGAGTTGGTTTATGGACTTCAGTTCACAGGGCATCTCTCGTTTGTAGGCTAGAGAGAGAGAGAGAGAGAGCGGAGAGGAGAGAGAGAGAGAAGAGAGAGAGAGAGCGAGAGAGGAGCGAGGAGAGCGATAGAGAGAGAGAGAGAAGAGAGACGAGAGAGCGCCGAGAGCGATAGCGAGCAGAGCTGATGATAGATATACTCATATCGAGAGATATAGATATCTGCTCTAGCTCTACTCTTTCTCTTCTCTCTCTCTCTCTCTCTCTCTCTTCATCTCTCTCTCTTCTCTCTCTCTCACTCTCATACTCAGGGCTGTGATTGAGCTACACAGACACTGAAGGTCTCGTCTGCTGCTGCCTGCCTTGGTGTCATCCCGTTCTGATTCACAGCTAGCTGCACCACTGACATGAAATAGAGCCTCAGCCCTCCCTGAGAAATCAATAGGACTTTATGGAGCTGCTGTCAACCATAGCACCTCCGTACAACCCAGGGAAATATACATGACCAACACACACACACGCGGCATGCACACAGACAAACTCACAAGAAATGATAATTTGTCAATAGAAGTATAAAGCAACATGCAATACTGTGAACCAATCACAGGGAGGAAATAGACATGTTCACAGTAACTGCTGTTGTAGGGGTCAAAGGACAGAGGATAATGCCCTCCTGCTCGCTCAGTCAGTCAGTCTGTGGTGTGTGTGTGGTGTGTGTGTGTGTGTGTGTGTGTGTGTGTCCAGCAGTACAGGCCAGGTCTCTGAGGTCAGAGCACAGCAGCCTCATCGCCACGGCACCCCACTGAGAGGCAGATTGCCAAGGGGCAACATGGGATAAGAAATCTACTAAACAGCAACAGAGAGGATATCGATTCAGCCAATCACAGGCCAGGAGCTTGGAGCAGAGAGAGAGATGAGAGAGAGAGAGAGAGCAAGAGTGAGAGGAGAAGAGAGAGAAGAGAGGAGAGAGAGAGAGAGAGGAGAGGAGGAGGACCGGGAGAGACGAGAGGAGAGAGGGATGAGAGAGAGAGAGAGAGAGTGAGAGGAGAGAGAGAGGAGAGAGAGAGGAGAGAGGAGAGAGAGAGAGAGAGAGAGAAGGTAGGAGGTAGGGGAGCGAGGGCAGTGGGAGAGAAAGAGAGCAGGAGCAGGCTCTGATACTTTTTCGGAGTGGTGGAGTGGTAGAGAGAGGTGGTGGGATGGAGGGGTGGAGAGGTGGATGAGTAGAGGGAAGGAGGACTGGGAGGGTAGAAGGGTGGACCCGTGGAGGCAAACAGCTAACAGTACTTGAAGACCCTTTTCCCAGGCAAAGCATGTAAAATTGAAGTGCATGATAATGGAGTGTGTGGAAAGGCAATTTGTTACCTCGCTTGAGGTCCGTGGAGAGTTCAAGACTTAAGAGAAGCCTGATGGGCAAAGCAAAGCACTCAATAATGGAACCAAAGACTGATGCCTTGTTTCAGTACGGTGCTTACGGCTTACAGTATACAACACAGCCCCACAGAGCTGCTTAGTCCAACCACTGCTATTCCATCGACAGAATAGTAGTGACTGACTCCAGAACAGACCAGGCTGGGCAAGCATCACAATGAACAGACATACACAAGCCTCTGAGCATTAGGTTAAACATAGCCTTGACTTCATTTTATATTTATATTTTAGTTATTTAGCAGGTGCTCTTATCAAGAGCGACTTACAATAGTGAGTGCATACATTTTCATACTTTTTCATACTGGTCCCCCATGGGAAACGAACCCACAACCCTATAAGGTTCTATCTGAAAAAAGATGATTCCTAGTTCCGAGAAGTTACGAACCTTCATTGGTTTGAATGGTGTTCATAATTTTTATCATGTATTCTTTTTTTTACTTAACAACATGAATTAGGGTATTTGCAAACCACGCCCCCAAATATTCAAATGAGCACTCAGCTCTACTAATGAAGTAGCTGGGCTTGGTGTGGGCTAGTCTGTGCTGGGATTGGTGGGGGCTATCTCGTGTTGGGCTTGGTGGGGGCTATCCCGTGTTGGGCTTGGTGGGGACTAGCCCATTATGGCATGGTGTGGGCTAGCCTGTGCTGGGCTTGGTGTGGGCTAGACCATGTTGGGCTGGTGTTGGCTAGCCTGTGCTTGGCTGGTGTAGGTTTGATGTGGGCTAGCCGGTGTCGGCCTGATGTGGGCTTGAAACCCCACCTCTTTAAGGAATACCTGGGATAGGATAAAGTAATCCTTCTACCCCCCCACAAAAAAAAACATATTGTAAAGTGGTTAACCCACTGGCTATAAGGTGAATGCACCAATTTGTAAGTCGCTCTGGATAAGAGCGTCTGCTAAATGATGTAAATGTAAATGTAATGTAAATGGCTTGGTGTGGGCTAGCCGGTGTCGGGCTGATGTAGGCTAGCCGGTGTCGGGCTGATGTAGGCTAGCCGGTGTTGGGCTGATGTGGGCTCTTTACATTCCCTTCCCGGTTGTAAAGACAGTGGGTGTCTCCCAATTGGTCCTACATGTATAAAGGGCTCTGGTCAAAAGTGCACAATTTAGGGAATAGGGATGCAGACATGGTCACTCTGCCTGTATCCCACATCATACCAGGGTTATAAATCCCTCCTTATTTATGACTACAACAACCTGAACCTCCTCAAAGAAAACCCTTCATCATCATTCAAGCCTTCTCTCTCTCTCCCCATCTCTCCATCTATCTCTCTCTCTCTGTCTGTCTGGTCTGCTGAGAAGGTCACTTTGAGCTGTGCCGATGGCAGACATCCAGGCTTACCCAGACCGTCCCAGACCTTAGCCAGCATTGGAGTGTCTGTGACAGGGACGGGGGATGAGGATGGAAGGCTTGGGGTTCCGATTCCTGGAGCCCCACAGGGCTGATTAAAGAGCATGTGGTGTTGGTGACCCATGACGGGAGTGTTGCTGGGTCCATCTGGCTGAAACAGCACCCTCTAGTGGACTGATACTGCTCTACAACACTGGGGTAGAGGGAATGAATAGGTAGCAATACTGAGCACTGGGGCAGGGTGGAGGCCAGCGTGTACCCACTATCCAGTCCCACAGAGATAGGATGATAGGATGATAGGATTATTGGATGCTCAGAGCCCGGATGGTAGGAAGGACATCTGGGGGAAAGGGGCGGGGGGATCGGGTGTCTGAAGCAGTATGTAGATTCCACATCGGACACGGCTACCTGTCCTCAGCCCTTCTCATCCCTCCCCACCCCTGTTTTTTACCCACCTCTCTTTCTGTCTGGACAATAGAAACTGGGTTGTTCAGTCTACCTCCCTAGAGTATGCCTGCTGCCCGCCAGTACTGTTACAAAGGGAGCTGAACTAAATATGACAACCACTGGAACTCAATGTGCTTTTAGGTGAGGAGAGAGTTAGAGAGCAGAAATAGGCACCGAAATAGAGAGGGTGTTTCAACCTTATATATAACACTATCAACTCTCCCCAATTAAAGCCAAACATGCTGGTAAAACTGTATTTACCTGGAATTAAAGGCATACATGTTTATGAGAAACTGATATCTAGGATATGACATCATCACCAGCTAGTTTATAAATACAGAGACAGTTCAGCTGAGGTACCCTTCACAAGGTCACTACACAACGCTGTCTCTCAGTCACAGTCAAATCCAGGACACACATCTAACACTGAACAAAAATATAAATGCAACATGCAACAATTTCAAAGATTTTACTGAGTTACAGTTCATATAAGGAAATCAGTCAATTGAAATAAATTCATTAGGCCCTAGTCTATGGATTTCACATGACTGGGAATATAGATATGCATCTGTTGGTCACAGATACCTTAAAATAAAAGTTAGGGGCGTGGATCAGAAAACCAATCAGTATCTGGTGTGACCACCATTTGCCTCATGCAGCACGACACTTCTCCTTCACATAGAGTTGATCAGGCTGTTAATTGTGGCCTGTGGAATGTTGTCCCACTCCTCTTCAATGGCTGTGACAAGTTGCTGGATCTTGGCGGGAACTGGAACACGCTGTCGTACACGTCGATCCAGAGCATCCCAAACATGCTCAATGGGTGACATGTCTGGTGTGCAGGCCATGGAAGAACTGGGACATCTTCAGCTTCCAGGAATTGTGTACAGATCCTTGTGACATGAGGCCGTGCATTATCATGCTGAAACATGAGATGATGAATGGCACGATGAATGGCAACTGTGGGCCTCAGGATCTCGTCACGGTATCTCTGTGCATTCAAATTGAAGAGCACACTTCTCCAGCGTGCCAGTGGCCATCGAAGGTGAGCATTTGCACACGACACCATACTGGCAGTCAGGTCAAGACCGTGGTGAGGATGACGAGCACGCAGATCAGCTTCCCTGAGACGGTTTCTGACAGTTTGTGTAGAAATTCTTCGGTTGTGCAAGCCCACAGTTTCATCAGCTGCCCGGGTGGCTGGTCTCAGATGATCCCATAGGTGAATAAGCCGGATGTAGGGTCCTGGGCTGGCATG